TTTAAATATTTTCGGTTAGAAGATTAACGGTGGTTTCAGTTTTGAAAAGACATTTTGTTATTTTTTAAGTCTTTAAGCAGAGGGACTTACCGGTATACATTAGACATACACAATTTTATATGTACTCATCCAGGACAAACTGACTTAGAAATCTAACTATTCAACAAAAAATAAAGAATTGAATCCAGATCGAGAGATCGAGGGATTTTTTTTTACATACAGTGTAACAATTCCTTGCTTTTGTACAAAGATACACTTGTTTAACTTTTTAGGAAATCTCTTAATATTTAGTTAGGGATTCGCCTCAGTGTTACTAATGACCTCGTGAAGGAGAGATACTGCAGAGTACATGCAGTTCATCTTGGAAAAATCTATGCATTCTTGACTATAGCTGAACTGAAGCGATACATGAGAAAAAACAAATACATGCATGTAGCCTAAAGACCATAATCGGAACGGATATAGATAAGCTTTTTCTAAACACAGAATCCAATGTCGGTCCTACAGTCAAAGCAGATATTCATCTAGAAGTGTTCCTTTATAAGAATATCCTTGATATTTTGGACTTTAAAATCTTAAATTACGTGATTTTATTCAATATATATGCGTTCTATGTTCGACACATAAAGTTTGCAGGAGATAAACATTTCATAAAGGAAATATAGCTTAAACAAATTAACATATATTAAACAATTATTTTTCTGAAATATACCCAAATGTCAAGGGCCTTTTTAAAGATGCCTATTTACCTATTTAAATTACACAATCTTTTTTTTTTCAAAGCTAGAATTAGTTTTACATTCATGAATAGTTCCTGATTGAATTCATTAAAAAAAACTCAAGGATCTTACGAGTATAAGTATATACATGTACCACTCTTTGGCATCTGTACAATCGCATTCTTATTTTGCTTTATAAAATTGTTTCGGATGATCTAAATATTTTTCTCTATTTTAGAGCAAAAATAAATTAACCGACATTTGAATAATTTGTTAAAAAGATTCAAAAACTTCGAGGAGGGCCTTATCAAAGGTAGATATTAAAGGTATTTAAATTACATAATCTTCTTCAAAACAAGATTTAAAATGCCTCCAAAAATTGTATTCATAAAAATTAAACTTCCTGGTTTTGAAAATAAAAATAAAAACTCAATAAGGTTTTTACGGGTACACATAATGAGCATCTTTTTGACATCTGCACAATAGTGTTCTCTTATTTTGCTTTAATTAATAATTTTCGTAATTTAAACTTTCTCTTGCATAGATAAGATCTGGTATAAAACTAATTTTCTTTCGGATGAAAAAAAAATCATAAAATTTGTGTTTATACCAGTTAAGTTTTAAATTAAAAGAAATACAATAGAATGTTTTTTCCTTTTCTTTCTGAAAATAGATCTTTAGACGTGTCCTATATCTGTCAACCCCGGTGGTGTATACCTTTGACATAAAATAAGTTTATCTATCTAAAGCTTATAGCACATTAATTCATTTCAATATCGCATAACAATACGACTTTTTACTCTAGCTCCAAATATAAACATTCTGATTGCTTGCATGAAATAAAACTGGATGAAGATATTGTTAAATGAAATATGGAAATAATAAACAGTAATCAAACCCATTAAGTCAATTGAAACATACAAATCGGGAGAGGGGCAAACACGGGACTCTAAAACATCGGAGATGGGATCAGGTGCCATGGAGGTGTGAGTATCCCTTTTAAACAGTACACAAATCAGAGATGGGATCAGGTGTCATGGAGGTGTGAGTATTTCTCTTAAACAGTACACAAACCGGAGATGGGATTATGTGCCATGGAGGTGGGAGTATCCCTTTTAAACAGTACACAAATCAGAGATGGGATCAGGTGTCATGGAGGTGTGAGTATTCCTCTTAAACAGTACACAAACCGGAGATGGGATTAGGTGTCATGGAGGTGTGAGTATTCCTCTTAAACAGTACACAAACCGGAGATGGGATTAGGTGCCATGGAGGTGGGAGTATCCCTTTTAAACAGTACACAAATCGGAGATGGGATCAGGTGCAACGGAGGTGTGGGTATCCTTCTTACAAAGATTTTTTGGCTAAGTGGTTCTTGAGAAGATTGATTTCAGAATTAAAAAAAAATACTGTTGCTTATCATGCAACGCCTACTTCTATTTCAAAAAATTAAATGTTTTTCTTTTTGCATAAAAAGATTTTACCATACACGGTCTATAAGATTATTTTATCAAATTCAATGAAAAATTTTGCATAAAATGGATATTGGCTAATCCAAGTTCTCTCTATTTTCCGAACTTTTAAGAATATTTTAGTTATTTTATATGCTCCCAATACGTAAATATTTCTTTTTTCACATTATTATGGTAAAGCTGACAAAAAAGCCATAAAACTTTGTTTTTTAAAAAATACGTATATCGTTTACTAAGAGAGAAATAACACTTTTTACAAATATTTGACTGAAATCTGTATTTAGATTGGAAGATTTTTAAAACTTTAATCATATTTCTTTGATATATATTACTATTATTTTCGTCAAGAATGGAGGCATACAAGGCAATGTCAATCCCCCGCTGTAAGAAAAGATATTTCTCCGTTGTAAAAGTTCATGAAAGCTATATTTTTTTCCAATTTATATGGTTTAAAAATTTAATTCTGTATTTCATTGTTTTAATAATTTATTTTTTCACTCATGTTTTTAAGATATGTGAACATAAGGAATAATCTTCAAGTATAATTCGAACTCTCTCCATATCGCAGGGCTTGGCACTTGACCAACCGCGTTAACTACTACGCTACGACGTATATGCGTTATAGTTGTCTGTCAGTGTGATTTAAATGAAAGGGTTTGTTGAAGCGTACATTTTTTCAGAAAAGTTCGATTTTCAGATAGAATGGGTTCAGATTCCATTTTTGGACAAGTCTACGGTCCTACCTTTATAATCAATATATATTTCAAAATTTAAATATTGTCAATATTGGTAGCAGAATACCATAAAATTTAGACGTTTAGACTAATATGAATTTCAATGCCTCGCAGAAGTCTTACATAAAATGATAGTTACCGAATATTCAAAAAATGCTTTTATTTGGTTTCTTGAATTATTGTTATTCTTTATCGTCTTTTATAACTTACTTTCAAGGTAATAATACTTTTTATAAACATTACTTTTCGTCTGTTGTTTAACTAACGTAGTTCTAGAAATCATATTTGATTGTTGAGAGTGTAACAAAATTACAACAATCTAATGGTTTTCATCAAAATTAATTAACACATAAAGGCTAACCATGATCTTATTTTTAAACCATAATGGTAATTGATCGATTTCATAATTTATTAATCCGTAAAACACCTGAACGTTTTCAAAGGAAAGTGATACATTAACAACATTGTTAATACGCAGTATATCGGTCTAAACTTTCCACATTGAACAGTGTGTTGAAACCCGGGCATTAGGTAAGTCGGGTCAGCTGAACTCTCAACTTCAGTTGTTATAAGCATTATCTATGTATACACAATGTGCTTAAAGGGGATTTATTCTAGACATAAAAAGTTTTTTATTTTCAACCTCTTGAAAGTACTTTTGATTTGTTGTGTAAAATATGGTTCTTTATAATATTTCAGTGAAATTTTTTAGAAAAGCTGTGAATATATAAAATTTTATTTTAATTTTTTAGTTTATAATGGTAAACTCTGTTCCTAAAATCTACATAGTTTTAATTTAGGCTTGTTTAAAATGAAATAGAGACTGGAATATGTATTTATATACGCATTATTTAGTTTTGAAAAATGTTCTTATTTTGATAAATGTAAATATCTTTAAATGGCATCTGCTCCATCAAATTACACATGTAGGCTGAGCAAGTAAAAGTCTTCTAAATTTGAATATTCTCTCTTGCCTAAAATGAAAGTTAAATTTGCTGAAAGACATTCAGTGCTTATTAATATATTCTAGTTTCTAATTGATAAAAACCTTACAGATGGCATCTGCCTCATCCAGCTGGGCACAGCACTGTTTAGAATGCGACAACTGCGAGGTCAGAGCGGCCCAGTATCTATGTAAATCATGTCAAGGTCGCCTCTGTAAAGATTGTAAATTAGAACATAAACAAAGAAGACTCACAAAAGATCACGTGATTGTATCCTTATCTGCAGACCATGGAACAAAGATTCTATATCCCTACTGTCCGGACCACGATGAAAACAGGTTGGAATATTACTGCTCAGTCTGCAAGACTCCGGTGTGCACTATGTGTATGACAGATAAACACAATGGACACACGGTACGGGAGATAGAAGAGGTTTACAAAGAAATAAGAGAGGTGCTTCAGAGGGAAAGAGAAGAGATTGAGAACATCGTTCTACCAGCTTATAACAAGCAGGTGTCTGAAGAGGAAGACAGGAAGAACAATGTTTCCATGAGAGCGAGGGAAGTTGAAAACCAAATCGAGGCTCATGCGGCCGCCATCATAGAAAGAGTTACGAATACAAAGGAGAAAGCGATTGGAAGTATAAGAGAAGATGAGAGTAAGGTACTGAAATTAATTTATGAATCGAAAGAACAGTTAAGGAGAAAGACCGAGAGTTTAAATCTTTTGCATAAGGAATTGTGTGAAAAATTAAGTTCTGATCCAGATATGGAATATTTCACAAAGGAAGACACTGGGCATTTAGAAGTGCTGAGACACATCAGTCCAACATATTCATACAGCATTGAGGACTTCCATCCAGGTCAAATAGAAAATATATTTAATGAAAAAGAATTTGGATCCGCACCTTGCTTTGAGTACCAGTCACCATTACGAGATTTAATGAAACCGATCAGTAGAATTTGTAACAAAAACTTTATTGAAAAACTCCTTAAAAAATCAAACCGTTAGTTGATATGTATGCTAATCTCGTACTCTTCGGTCATACTCCTTAAATCCATCTGATAATGTTGTATACACAAATTAAGCTTCTGGTATAGATAGGTGAGCTAATGCTTTAGATGGGATACAAAGAAGTCTGTGAAATTTTTAAATCGTTAATTATTAATATGTAGAGATCCGTGGGGATAAATTCGTTCAACTTGATGAAACTCGAGTACGCTTATCGTCGATAACTGCACAACGAAACAGGATATTGTGATTTGAGTATTGTGATGATTTCAAACTAAAATTCAGTGTAAGAATGGAAGATTCAGAAAATTGGAGAAACCGATGTAGAAAGACATTTTTAAAAAATCTATGGCACTGTCATTAGATGTCAGACTGGTGTATCCGTTTTTCACCGACACATCTTGTTACTCCTTCAATCATTTAAATTCATCATTTGTTTCTTGTTTATTTATTTTAAACAAGCACTGCTAGGTGAGCCTTCTTGATGATATTGCGATTCATACTCAGAAAACGTACATGTTTTCATTTATAAGTACATTAGACACTACTCTTGTTGAAATGGTAAGATTTATTTAAGATAATATAAGCTAAGATTTACGTGTTTTTGTTTGTTTGATTTCAAAGTTTCATAAGACAGAATGTACCTGGTAAAGTGATCTTTGCAACGTATATCAAGGTTTTCAGTTATAAGATATAATAATCACACTTGTATAATTTTGAATGAACTTCATTCCAATTGTAAAATCTGATATATTACTAAAACAATTGGAATAAACGGCTTGTGTAAATATTATTTATTCAATTACTTTCTCAGATTCGCTTAACTTTATTTAATGAAACTATTTACATTTGTTCTTCATGCAGATGCTTTTATTAAAACCAAGTTCGCTTTAGATTATGTCATGGAATGTGCATTGAAATAAATTTTGTTCGAGGAATATATAGATTCAATGATTTTTTGTGATTAAACTTATTGAAATATTGTAACATTTTACTGTTCAAAAAATAATTTCATCAGGGACGGAAAGCCAAATGAGTGTAGTTCTTTTAAAGGTACTTGGACACAGATTTGAAGGTATTTTTTTTTCTGTATAATATTACGACATGTATATTTTAATAGCATTTCACACAAAAATTAATAAAAAATCTTATTTCGTTTAAAAGTTATTAAAACTTCAAATTTTTTGGTGGGTTTGATTGACTCATCCTTGCACTTTCACAAATTTTAAGTTTACTCTTAATACTTAGAAAAAGTGGCAATCTTATTGTATATAAATGAAAAATATAAATACTATAATCCAGAAAAATCAGAGTAGACATGTTCGAAAGCAAAACAAACACACACTATATTCTCAGTCCGTGCAGTTGTTGTGAGCAGACTTTGACTATTGAACGCACCCGGTGAATCGTAAACAATCAACAATAACATAGCTCTTGCCCTGTTTACAAAAACTGTGTACATAACACGAGTGTGATCGATTTGCACACAATACTTAGTTCGGAATGACGGTACATGTGAAGAAATTTTGCTTTGTAACATTTCTACTCTGAATAAAATTGTTTTTCTGGATTAAAGTTGTAATATTCCTCATTAATACACAAAAAGATTGACACTTTTCCGAAGGGTTAAGAATAAAGTTAAAATTTGTGAAAGTGCAAGGATGTGTCAACCAAACCCGCCAAAAACTTTGAAGTTTTAATAACTTTTAAATGAAAAAATATTTTTAATTAATTTTTGTGTGAAATGCTTTTAAAATATATAATTCGTGACATTATACAGAAAATATTAACTTCAAATCTGTGTCCAAGTATCTTTAAAGGGAAACATGGCCTCTGGCGGTTAGACTCGGATTAAGGTGTCCTTTACTGCTATTCAATAACTTACGTAACTGTACGGCAGAATAGCATTATTGATTTTCTATGAGCCCAATATTATTTCGTATCATATTTAAGGTATATGAACCCTTTTTTCCTCCAGATCTTCAACTCCAGTATGTTTTTCAGAATCCTAGAGAAATCGAGAAGCTTGTCAGTTTAATTTCCTTTATGTCATTTATTCTATAAAACATCTGCTTGCATTAATACTGATATGATATTTTGTAAAATGGGGTAAATTTGACACTTCTGGTACATTTTGTACAGAATAATATAAAATTGCCTGTAAAATATTCATACAAAATTTGAAAACATATCCATTTTCAATTAGCAGAATACAGTAGTGAATCGTTTTTACACAGGGGTTACCCAGAGGTTATATCTAACCAGGAAGAACAGGGTATTGACTACTTGATAAGAATATTGTCAAGGAATTTCATGAACTGCTTTCAACAATTTTTTATAAAGTCATATGCATTTACCATAAAAATGGAAAATAGGTTCGGATCTGTGATTATGGATTTTTTAAATCATAGGTTTTTTTTAACCCCAGTGGCATTACAGGTGACGTTAATATAGTTAATAATGAGGACCTTTGATCACTTATTTTTAAAGGTCCTAAATATAGGAATTCATGATCTTTCAACTGGCGTCGGAAATTTCAAAAATAGTATTGATTCTGTAGAAGATTACGCCAGGCGCTGGGTCAAAGCCATCTATCCTTCTTTATTTAATAATCCAGAAGTGAAAAATGAATTAGAAATATTACATGATCAATGCATACTTGTCCCTGCTGACAAAGCAGGTAACAACATTGTCTTCGTTTTTAAGACTCGTTATATATAAATTAGAAGAACTTATTTATTTACACAAGAGGTTATCCAACTTATACTCATATAATGTTTTTATATCCCAAAGAACCAAAATGATTTTAAACTACCATATCTATAATTAATTCAAACTTCATAAAAATCCTTACAAGCAAAGATAGCTAGGGGATTCCAGTTAATGTTCAACAAAGCCTCTTTCTTTACTCCTCGCTAAGATATGTATTACGAGTAGTGACGGGGAAACTTCAAGAGTACTCTGTATAAAAATATTCAAGAAGTGTTTAATAGATGTAGATACTTAAATATTCCAAGGAACTATTGGACAATTTGAAATCACAAGATTTTACCAAAATCAACAACTTAAAAACTTAAGACTTTTCAACTTTATACACAGCGATTCCCCACGATAAATTGTAGTCCAGGCTTTTGATATCATGTACCCATAGCTGCTTTTTCAATATAAATGGAACTCGTAAATTTACTTACCTTATTTGGTTATTTGCAAAATTATTTTATCAAAAACATTCTGCATTGTACACAAGTACTCTGAAGTTGACATAAAAAGATGCTTGAGTTTCTGATTGACAATATCTTTATTATTTTTGAGACCAGGTCTTCCAACAATCTAATGGAATTCCCATTGAAACCAATTGAGCTCCGTTATTAGTTTACCTATTTTTATATTTATATGAAGCAGAAAATCTAACATCTTATGTATACGTGAAAAGAAGAAAATATGTACGTTGTCTTGAACTCGATATTTAGATATTTCGATAACGTATTGTCAATAAACATGATAATTTCCATTGTTATGTCGATACGATATATCCTGGTAAGCTTCAGATAAAAGATACCATAGAGTCTGCTATTTGGATATTTTACCTGAAATAGGCGTAAATGGTAATCTAACAACCAATCTCTATGATAAACGTGACTTTAACTTTTTAATGGCCAGTATCCCTTACATAAGCAGCAATATACATCCCTCACATGCATACGGAATTTATATCTTTCTGTTGATTCGAATCCGCACGAGCATGCTCTACGAAAAAAAATTTCTAAAACGAGGTAAATTATTGAGAAACAAAAAATAAAACTACAAGAATATCAGCAGTCTCGTTTAAAGTCATCATTTGGTCAGTTGGTTAGTTCTTTGGTCGATACAATGACCTTGTCAGCAAATACAATTTATCATTGAGTCAAATACTGATTGAAGTCTTACATACTAATTGTTAATCCATTATTTATACACTAAATTGACGACGGATTTTCCGTTGTTTCCCGATCATGACAAGGAGCACACGGCGGGTGTGACCGGTTGGCAGGGGATGCTCACTTCTTCATGGCCCTTGATCACCTCTGATGTTTTGGAATTCCATGTTCTCTCTGCTCCTATTTTGTATTATTCTATGGATTATTGGTCTTTTATACTGTTTGCTATATCCATATGCTTCATTTAATCTCCTTCATATTTTATATTATCATCTGGCTATTTTTAAGATACTTTTTTGGTTTAACAGAACTTAATACTAAATACCATGGAATCCGGATAGGGTCATGTAATTCATTGTCGCAACATCGCACTATCGTTATTTAGGTTAATAGTGCGATGAAGCGAAGGTTCAATAACGATGATGCGATGCAGCGACTATGCAATGACGATAGTGCGATGGAACAATAGTGCGATAGCAATCACACGATGGTACAATGGTGATGGCGCGATGGTACGATGAAGCAATAGTGAATATCGGTTCATCTTTCTGTCGCACCATCCTTATCGTATTGTCGCAACATCGTCATTGCGCAATCTCACCATAGCTTCTTTGTCAATGTACCATCGCATTATCTCAATACTCAAAAGTCGTGAGTGCTGAGTACAGGCATTGGGGCCACAAAACTTAGACGAGTTCACTTGTGATCTCAGTTTAATTTTATCGAATCAATATTGCAAAAGTGAGCTGGTCTCAGTTAAATAGCTCCCAGGCCAGGTCTAAGTTAATAGGTCTTTATCAGCAAGTGATGGGAAGTCAATATGAGAGGAAATTTCTGGACTGAACGTTGAAAACAAACAAACAAATAAAAAAAATTGTAACTAAAAATTAATAAATTGTTGGTTTTTGCCATTTCGAAAAGTCAATGAAAACAAACATAATGAATTACATTCATGGTGTAAATAAGTATATAATCAAGAAGATGTGTATCATTCAGTGAAATAAGTCCTTCTTGTTATAGTCAAATCTAAAATCATCACCATGAAGCATGTATGAATCACTTTCTGAATATCTAAGCATAAAG